GAAGAATAACCTTCATAGACATTGGACAAAAAACAATAGTATACATATTGATAAACAATAAAAATAGTATACATATTGATAAAGCTATTAATAAAATTCTAAATTCCTTTGTTTCTTATTTTCATCACCAATCATCTCGATATCATTAGTTTCCAACTAAGTATTTATGCTGATGACAAAACTATTTCTATTTTGTAATCGATTTCACCACTCGAAGAATTAGGAATAGAAACATTATTGATGAACAGGAAGAGAAAAGAGTAATCAGGAGGACAGTAGATAGCGATGGATATTGCATTTACATTTTTGGAGATTAAAGTTAGCTAGAAAGCATGGAGTCGGAAGGGAGTTCCACAAGCGAGAAGCGTGAGAAAAGAAACTGTTAGCATAGAATTTACAGCTACATCTAGCCAGCTGAAGTGTAAATTGATGAGATCTCGGCGCAAGTCTAGTATTACGCTTAAATTCAAAAGTTGTAGTAGGTACCATAGTGAAGGGCGCATCCGAATAATTACCATGATATTATTCATAGAAAAGACAGCGGTAGGAAAAGTGACAGAAGCTGGGCCACCAGATCAGGACCAACAATATTGCTGATTTTCCTTTGGATTTTATCAAAGAGCACGAGGTAAATAGCAGGGGCACCTGAAATATATGTGGCAGCATTATTTTAAGCATGCACGAATGGTAGACTTATAGATATGTAAGATAGATTCTGGAGAGACAAATTTACTCCTGTTTTAGTAGCGAAGGGCGCACCCGAACAATTACCATGATATTATTCATAGAAAAGACACAGAGAGGCAATCTTGCAGCTGTAGGAAAGTGACTGAAGCTGAGCCACTATTATAGAGTAGTTTCACAGTGGAGGCTTGTATTTCACTAAGTCAGTCCTAAAATAGGTTCGACGTACAAAACGTTAGGAACTTGATATAATAGTTACTGACGCAGCAATCTAGTTGTGGTGGCTGATACTTTAATATCCGACTAACGGTCGTCCGACATCGACTGACTGACCAACTCACTGAGCAACTTCTACCCCTCGTTACTATTACTACTCCTACTTATTATAGGTGGGAGAGTCTATTAACTAAAGAATATGTGTGTTCCACTATAACAGCTACCAGATCAGGACCAACAATATTGCTGATTTTCCTTTGGATTTTATCAAAGAACACGAGGTAAATAGCAGGGGCACCGGAAATATATGTGGCAGCATTATTTTAAGCATGGACGAATGGTAGACTTATAGATATGTAAGATAGATTCTGGAGAGACAAATTTACTCCTGTTTTAGTAGAAACAACAGCTCTCAATAATTGCAATCCGTAGTTCCACCAGTTCAGACCTTCACAGCTAAGGCCCGCCATGCCATGTACGCATAGCCAACTTAACCTGATCCTCTTCTTCTTACTTTATGGAACAAACTCCCAAGAGGATGCTGCCACGGTCTTAACCTTTTAACCTCTTCAAGAATTGGTTCAATACTTACCTATCTTACATATCCTAATGATATGCACGTCTTACTGTATCCCTTAAGAGCGTAAAAGGATAAAGTAAGAAGAAACTTTATTAAATAACACTCTGCCTTGAGTGACTCTTGGGGTTTTGGTTGATTCGTTTTTTACGGCCTATCAACCTTTTGTAGGAAAATATTTTTAAATTGTAAGCATTTTTAAAAAAATAATAATGGTTTAGTGATTATCCTAGTAATTAACTCATAGCTGGGGGAGGAGAGGTAGAAACTTACCTTTCCCAAGTGAATATAACGAACTCAGTGAACTTACATTTCAATAATAATGCACAATTAATTTTAGCTCGTGAAAATTTCGCGGCTTTCCTATTTTAATATTCTGACGAATTTTAATACTTATGTTAATGATTGAGTAAGCTCATAGCGAGTTCTACGACAAAAATATCAGTAGAAATTCCCCTATCACGTCGTTAAATATTTGAGTTTAACAACTTTAACAAAATATTGCAATAATAATCATAAATATAAATGCTGGTTGTTATTTTAAGAAGTAAGGGGGTACAAATGAAAAGATTTGAAATTGACAATTTTTTCCATTTGACTGAAACAGCCGTTAAACACTTCGATCTTCCTTTCTATATTTCATTCATTCATTCATTCATTCATTTTCTCACTGATATCAAGTAGTGTCTTTCCCCCTATTTCCACGGGATCAAAACGGAATAGTCCATTATTTATAAGGTATTGGGATGAGATGCGAAAAACTTTTATCTTCTCTTCTTTCTGGTCAAATTCCTGTCTTATGAACATTTCTCTTAAAAATAATCCTTAAGTATCGATCTCACACTCTTTGGGTCCTGTCACTGGATTTAACCAACGCCTTTATCCACTGTGCTATATGTCCTTGAGGAGATAACTGATAACTGACATCCATCAAAACATAGCACGTGGAACTAGAACAGTCTACCCCAGTGAGCGAAATAAAGGGTTCAGTTCGACATTCCAACCCCCCGAAGAAGGCCGGAGCGTACAACGGCCGAAACGTTGTGATAAATATGGCGACAAAGATGACGACAATAGTCCGAATAATGTAAATAATGTACGGATACACTAGTTTAAAAATTCAGCAGACGGTGTTATCTTATTTAATTTGTTGTAATTGGATTTTTGGCGTTTCCGTACTCGTTTTTTTCCGCCTTTCGATACTGTGCGTATGAATAATAACGCTTTTAACGTAGTCGACAAAGGTTCCCAGCCTTTTAACTAAGATCAATTTTCGTCCTCCATTTTTTTTTCTTTTCCCCATCTCCCCTTTTTAGGTGACAGACGTTTTTGTTCTCTGGCGATATCAAATATTCTTCGTGTCTGGTCTTTTTCACCCAGTTAACCGAGCTCTTCTGCCACACTTTGCTTTCTGTGAGGGGTCCCAACACAAATACTTGTATTTATTTTTCTTGTATATATATATATATATATATATATATTAAGCGTTTCACCCCAATCAAGGCGAGAAGCCACTAGGACGCAAGGGGTTACAGAAGATTTGGAGCAAGATCAGATAGGAGTGATAGAGGAAAAGATGAGGAGAAGTATAGTGGATAGATCAAGGCAACTGGAGATGTCGATTGACATTACATTTGAATAGTTGGAGATTATAGCTCCCAGGGAAACTGGAATAGGGAAGGGAATTCCACAGGTGAGAGGTGAGAGATATGAAGCTATTGGAGTAGAAGAGACGGCTACATTTAATAGTTTCGACAGTGAAAGGGTGAGAGCGGGATGTCAGCCTCGCAGGGCGCTTGAACTCATGAAGTCTGGGAACCAGCGAATGCAGCTCTTCGGAGCAATTGACATGAAAGTATTTGTAAAAAAAAGACAGAGAGAGGCGACGGCGCGTCTGTGAGAGAGTGACTGTAGACAAGATGCCAGAAAAGGGCCAATTATATTGCATACCCGCCCCTGGAGCCTATCAAGAACCCCGAGGCAAACAGAGGGGGCTCCAGATCATATATGCCAGCAATACTCCATGCAAGGGCGAATTGTTGATTTGTAGATCTGGAGGATCGATTCCGGGAAGAAAAATTTCCTGGCGTGGCCCAGGGAGCCAACTTTCCTTGCGGTGGACGAAGCAATTGACTCAATGTATTTGTTCCATCTCAGGTCAGCAGTCAACGTGAGACCGAGCAGCCGTAGAGAGGTGCTCTCGAGAAGTTGAGTGTCAGACATTCTAATGGAGGGCAGGGAAGTATATATATATATATATATATATATATATATATATATATATATATATATTCATCTCATTGTATATATTCATTGGGTTCTGATGCTTACTCCCCACCCAGTGATTTGTCTAAATAAAATTTAATTCTGGGACATTCATTGAGTAAATGAGGAATTTTGGTGACCCCGTTGCAGCAGTTAAGAGTAAATGTGCTGTAATCGTGAAAGGAAAATTGTAAGTACGAATGGATCAATGAGAGGAATGGCAGAACTAATTTCAACTCGGAACTAATTTCAACTCGGAATTAATTTCAACTCGGAACTAATTTCACCTTGGAACTAATTTCACCTCGGAATTAATTTTAACTCGGAAATAATTTCAACTCGGAATTAGGTTCAACTCGGAACTAATTTCTAATCGGAACTAATTTCACCTCGGAACTAATTTCAACTTGGATCTAATTTCATCCCGATTTAAAAACCGTAACCGTAACCCTTAGTTCCGAGTTGAAATTAGTTCCGAGTTGAAATTAGTTCCGAGTTGAAATTAATTCTGCACCCCAATGAGAGAGATTAATTAGGTTCGAGTTCAGACCATTCTTTTTTCCTCGACCCACGTTTAGCCCTAGTGGCATATTTTGTACTTTTGTACGATTAAATATTAAGATGAAAGTCTAGTATCTGTTCTTATCAGCTTAATCTGATTCTCTCTGTCTTCATTTCTATCTCCTCTTCTTTCTTTCTTTCTTTCTTTCTTTCTTTCTTTCTTTTTCTCGCTGAAACCGAATAGTGTCTTTTCCCTTTCTCCACATGACCAAAACGGAATAGTTCATTATTTATGAGCTATTGGGAGGGCGTAACGGCCGTGCGAAATAACGAAGGGAGGGACAAGCACAATTATATTAAGATTCTTTTCAAGATAGATAATTACTCGTCAACTTTATTGAAATATTTGCCTCTTTTGGTTACTAATTTCTTCGAACTCCCATATTTTTTTTGCTTTTAATTTATTTGTAAATCATCCATCTTCACCTTTGTAAATGATTTCCATGAATTTATACAGTAAACAAAAATCCCAATGACCGTTGTCAATATGTCTATATCTATATGTCTATTAAAAAAATAATAATGGCGTCACTATTGGAAAAGTAAAAAGCTAGCGGCTGCTACTTTATAACAAAGGTATCATCAGCTGATACCTTCCAGTTCTCACACCAGATCCTCACTTTTCATCCGTGTCAGATACCGGCTGTTTCAAATCACCCAACTGATCAAGCGGCAGTGAAAAAAAAAGGCGCCCAATATGTTGCCATCAGTCGTTTGTCTGTTGGTTCAAAAAAGTGCTTCGTTCAATCCCAACCGCCTACAGAAAAAAAAAAAAACAAATATGTATTATTTATATTCTTCATCTGTGGCAAGCTGGCACATGCGCACATCAAGACTCGTGTGACTTGGGATAATTCAACAGCCTGAGTAGAGAAAAGACGTCTCTCACGATAAGGTCAATATTACATAAGAGGTTTTATTTTTTAATTTTCGATTAGATATTAGAGGAAATTTTGATTAATTAAAAAAACAATACAAAACAAAACCGACAACATCAAATTTTATGGTGTTTATTTTTTATGTTTATTGAAGGACGATATATATATATATATATATATATATATATATATATATATATATATAAAGGGTGCGGCAGAAATACATTTCACATATCTTGTTGAAAACTTCACTGCCCAACCAAGAAACCCTTATATATATATATATATATATATATATATATATATATATATATATATACACACATATATATATATATATATATATATGTCTGTGTGTGTGTGTATATATATATATACACATATATATATATATATATATATATATATATATATATATATATATATATATACAAAGGTAGTAATCCGTTGGTATAATCCAGGCGAGTCCTATTAACACAATATAGAATTTGAAATATTCAATATTAAATGTTAAAACTGACTAAAAAAGAGCGCTCAATGTTTATTTTCATTAAACAGAACAAATTTTTTCGTACAACTGCAATTAAGATACCATTAGTTAATGACCATTTTCACCTGCGAATTTTTAAATGGTATCTTAATTCCAATTGTACGAATATATATATATATATATATATATATATATATATATATATATACTAGCACGAAATCACAAGTCATCGTGGCCGAAGGCTTGAGTGTACTGGCCTCGTTCAGATTGTTGATCATGCTTAGATAACATGCTCTTTTCCAGAAACTGTAACTAAGGTCTGCTCAGCATAGTTGCAGTATAAACCACAGGTGGGCTCTGTGGGTGTTGAACACAAATGCGCCCGAGCAAGCGTCTGCAATAGAGATTGGCTAGCAACCCTATTAGACGGGTATTCTCGAATACGAGTGGCCAGCTATCTATCTATCTATCTATCTATCTATCTATCTATCTATCTATGTAGCTAGATAGATAGCTCGATAGATAGCTCAATCTGATCTCACCCTCTCTCTCCTCTCTCTCATTATCTATCTATCTATCTATCTATCTATCTATCTATCTATACACTGTTGGTGAAGATTTATGACAAAGTGGAAAAGGTTTTCGTGTCGCACGCTTTGTCCTTTAGGAATTAATCAGATTAAATTTGTTATGTTGGTGCGACAACACATGCTGGGAATTCTTTTTTTGCGGGTGGGTATATAATCTTAGCTTATTTCATTTAGATTCTTTTTGTTTCCATCACTTTTGTTGTTAGCTATCACACACTGTAATAATAGAAGATCTACCAGGAATAGTGAAATGTTATAAAAGACGGAGCGTAAATTTACTGTAGATGACTTTGAGATCAAGGAACCCTCTGAATATTTTCGTCTCAGTGAACTGTTTTCTCCTTCGATCAGAGTAGCAATTTTTTTGTCAAAATTTTGGTCATTCTCCTTACGACGAGTAACTAATGCATTTAATTTAATAATAGCAAAAATTCGCTAAAACAGAACATGCTATGATGAAAAAAGACCTAAACTTAAAAACAAAGTTTCATCGTCAAATGTTTATTATTATTAAGAGGAAAGACAAAAGTATTTTATTATCTTATTAAAATTTTTAATTCTTTTCAGCATGTTCGAAATTTTGTTTTAAATTTTTTCTTTTAAATTTTTTTTTCGTCAGCGGGTGGGATAAAGGTTACTATAGGGATTTTTAGGGTCTTTCTTGTTAAAAACACATTGTTTTGGAAACTCTCATAAAAATCAATTAATTTTTGGATTTTAAAGAAATTTTCATCGCTTTATTTTCATTTTTCATAATTTCATTCACAAATGAATGAAATTATTTTTGAAATTTGTTTTTAGAAAATCTTGGTAAAAATAATTTTTTTATACTTCTTTTACCCTCACGTAGTGAATTTTTAAGAAATTTGGAGGAATTCAAATTCCACCCTCTTCATGCTTATATTAGTTAAAAGCGGAATTCCTTGGAGAATTTAAATCATCAATTTATTGAAAATTTACTCTGGATCGTCAAAAAAAAAAATGCAATAAAACTACGATATTATTTAATTAGAAAACGTTTTAATTGCTTTTATAAATAAGATATATTAAGGACAATATTGTCTTCAGAAAAATGTTTCGATGAATCAGAAATTGGTTTCATTAGAATAATTTATTAAGTTTTAAATCTTTTAAAATCTGTATTTATTTCACCCTTTTTGAAATTATATTTAAATCATAAATGGAAAAGCTTATGCAAAATACCAAATTTTTCATTTTGAATACTTTTGCCTGAGTATAATCTTTGCCGATTTTTTTTGTTTTCCAAAATTAAATTAGTTATGCAATACAGCAATGTATTTTGTTTATAAGAAATATTAAATTTAATCTATTAGCTTGAAATTAAAACTAAAATAAAACTTCAGAGTTTGCGTTTTTAAAATTAATTTTAAGCCTTTGTTTTGAACGCTTAAACCTTTTTTGAACGTAACTGAAAAGTTTTGCTGTTATGGCTAAGACAGTGTGATTTATTTATACAAATCATAAAACAAGGGAGGTAATCGGGTTGTCTTGCCACATTCTCAACAGCTTGGTTTTCTCCTAGTCCGACACAAAATCATCCAAGTGTCTGGGTCTCTTAACCGTTCTCTGGGATCGTCTCAGTGGCAGCTGATTTGGGTTTCAGGTGTCACGGGAACAGTCGGCCAGAAGCATTTCGTCTCAAATTGTTTTTGTCTCCTTCTTCGAGTGGTACGTTTTGAGGAAGCTATTCTGGTTTCGATCTCTGAATCATTACTATCGGGTCCTTGTTCCTCAAAAGAATCCAATATCGTCGTTACTGTCAAGAGGGGGGAGATATTGCTTCAAGGGAGAGCTGCTATTCCCTCTGATTTGATAACTCGCCGGCAGGGGCCAAATATCTGAGGTAAACTTTAGATTGTCTCCCGTCAGGATGCTAGATGCGCGCATAGAGTGGGTTCGCCTCGAGCAGTTCCACCTTACTCACATACTTGTTTTGTTGAACATAGTTTCTAAGTAAAATAGTACCCAGCTGTGAGAGCCAAGAAGGGAGGGAGATCCCGGCCGAATTTCGCTTTGGAAATTTTAAAAACCCTTCGTGAAGTGTTGCATTAGTTCTTGTACACAATAGTTTTCTTAAAGCGTACAGAGACTCGGTTATATTGGTTTTCGAGTACTAACTGTAAGGTCTTCAATATTATGCCATTGTATCTCTCATACTGTCCGTTCCCTTGAGGGTTTTATGGGGTAGTCCGGATATACGGCCACTTCCTGTACCAATAGAATTGTCTTACTTGGTCGGATATAAAAGAGGTCCGTGATCTGTATGAATATAAGCTAACGCTCCAAATATTTAGAACAGTGAGCGAACACAACGTATCACCATTGTTGCACTTATATCTGGACAGGAAAAGGCAAAAAGGAATCGTGAATACTCGTCAAATATAGTTAGTAGATATTTGTTTTGGGAATTAGATGGAAGGCTGTCTAGCCTTTATTAGGGTTCCAGGTTTGGATCTGTAGAACCTTGGTTTCATTCGAGTGCAAATCTGACAACCGTTTCACGTTCTTCACCTGAAAAGGGTAAATTCCGTCTACGAACCACATGCATCATCCTCGTGATATCTGGATGACAAAGTTCATTGCGAACTTTTTGTAGATCTTTGGTGCTCTTTACTGATCCACACACTTTTAACAGCGCGTCCGACGTTGCATTTTCCTTTCCCGACCGATAGAAAGCCTCAAACGAAAAACAGGAAAGCTCTCTATCTTTTAATTTTTCGCTATCTTTTAATTTTTTTTTTTTTGCTTGATTCTTAGGGTTAAACATAAAAGAGACTGACTTTTGGTCAGTGATTAACTTAAAGCAGTGACCAGTTAAGAAATGTGGACATTTTTTATCGCCTCGACTATGGTATAAGCCTCCTTTTCGGCAGCTGAATATCTGCGCTCAGATTTTGACAATGTTCTGAAGAAGAACGCTGCAGAGCGCTCGGTATTGCCCTAACACAGCAGCTATGGCGTGATCGGAAGCGTGGGTTTCTACTTCTAAGGGAATACCAGGATTCACCGAAGTGATGGCTGAGTTGGCAATATCTCTTTTTAACCCCTCAAAGTCCTTAACGGCAGACGAAGGTAATGAAAATTTGGTAATTTTCGTAAGTGGGTTTTCAGAAAACGAGGATATTCATTGAGAATAATGAGTGAACATAACCCTGGCTCGGCGGAAGGCGACTATGATATTGGGAATAGGTAGTTTTAGCAGTGGTTTTCGGCGTTCAGGGTCCGGCTTCATGATTCTTTTACCCACAATATATCCAAGTAGTCTGATGGTTTTCGAGCCATAATAACTCTTGTCATGGTTGGGTATAAGATTATATTTCTTGACAACTGCCAAAACCCGTTTTAGTTTGCGACTGTGATCGGCTCAGTCGTGGCCTCACACTCTCACATTATCTACATAGGTAAAGGTGTCTTGTAATTTTTCATCACAAATTATTTTATCGAGGACCCTCTGAAAACTGGAAATCCCGTTAGTGACCCCAATCAGAATCCGTCGGAACTGAAGAAGTCGTTCGCAGGCTTCAAAAGCCGTATAAGGCTTATATTTAGGGCTTATAGCTACTTGGTGGTAAGAACTCCTTAGGTCTAATGTGCTAAATATTCTGTATTTGGCGATCTCGTTTATCATCTCGTCTATACGTGGTACAGGGTATCCATCAAGGAGGGTGTACCTATTTATAGTTTGGGTGTAGTCTATGTCTATCCTTTTTTTATTACTTCCATGGTGATCTGCTTTCTTCGGTTATTTATTCTCTTAACATTCTTGTTATTTCTGTTTGAATAAATGTTTTGTCTTCAAGAGAATATTTCCGACATTTGATGGCCACTGGTTTACAGTTTTTGGTTATGTTTTCGAAAAGAGAAGGGTATTGTACATTTATAGCAGCCAAACCACAGATGTTCAACGCCGGTTTAGGGCCCCCAAAAGGGAGATTAATATTAGAATCAGCACAGATTTGGCATCACGAAAAATTTGGTGTTAGTTTGATTCTACTCTAGGCCAGCCAAAAGATATATCCTCTAACTTGCGAAGATAGTGAAGCGTTCGCCATAGCCACCTGACTATTACAATGTACGATTTTAAATGTGTTTCTTTTTGTAATATCAGCGCTAATAAAACTCTCTGAGCTTCCTGTGTCAACTAGAGCATTCATTTCTACCCCGTTTATTTTTACCATAAGTATATCCTTTGAAAGGCATTTAGGGTTTGTAGTTGATACGATACTAGTCGCAATAGTAGCATTCGAACCAGATGAACAAAAAATTGCCCGACAAACCTTAGAGAAATGTCCCTTCTTCCCGCACTTGTGGCATTTAATTCCCCTGGCTGAACAACACGACTAGGAGTGTAGTTTGAGACCACACAGGTAACATTTTCGTCTTCCGGAGAGAGATTTTGAACTGGCGGTGTGTCTGAATTGAATGTGAAGGGGGTGGAAAGAAACGAGGTAGTCTGTCGCAGAGTACTGTCTTTTTTCCTTATATGGGTCGTTTGAACTGATGGACTAGTAATAGTGTGAGTACTTAGTGCAACCTCTGCAACAGTTGTTTGTAGGTATGAACAAGATTGCTTTCCTGCCATCTCCAAGGTAAGTGCCTGCTCGTGAGCTGTAGCTAAATCTATATAAAGGAGTCTTAGATAAATTCACACTTTTGCTTGATTTGCTGTCGTCACTTGAAAGTTGCAGTCTTGACTAACGATTTTTAAGTGCTGAAGATACTGTTCTAACTCCGTTTCAGTGGATTGGCGGGTAGTTACTAATACAGGCTGGGCAAAGTTTTCACAAAAACCCCATCCAAAACATCCATTAGTCTATACGGATATGGAAACATGGTGCACTGGGGGTTTCATGCACAACGCAAACTTAAGATGCAGAATTGAGTCTC